CTTTTTGGATCCTGCCACTCCAAGGGCCGTCTCCCCTGCCGGAGTTCGGTCGAGACCCCTGACACCACGGCCACTGGGGGCACCGCACCAAAGTCCAAGGGAGAGTCTGACAATACCAGGAAAGGCAGTCCTGAAGATTATTTAAAGGTCAAAACCAAAACCTTGTGTTCGAGGCCCCCGACACCACGGCCACTGGGGGCGCCGCACCAAAGTCCACGGGAGGGCTCGACAGTTCTAATTCAGCACCTGTGCACTTGGCACCAGACCAGTGTTCCCTCTAAGCTGAGTTAGTGTGAGCTAGCTCACAGTTCTTCAGCCTCCAGCTCACACATTTTTGTCTTAGCTCAGGAAGGAGGGCTCCAGAGCAAACTGATTTAGGCAGCAGCCAAATCGCTGGCTCACAGCTTTAATGCCAGTAACTCACAAAGTAGAATTTTTGCTCACAAGATCCCACAGCTTAGAGGGAGCATTGCACCAGACACACGATTTTAATTTTTTGAGGCCTCACAAACACCTTTGTCTTGTGTCTATAGATCCTGCTGCTTCACCTTCCTTTTCTTGGTCCAGTATTCCCTCATTGGTTATCTTATTGTAACATGTATTAAAGTTACGTGCACCTCAATACTCTTTGACCTCTGAAGAAGGCCCCAATAGGGCGGAAACGCGTCAGGTCAGGTGTCTTGGCCCTTAGGTTTGGGCCACTAGAACTTTTTAACGAGGCTTTCATTGGGCCCTTATGTATGTCTTTAACTGTCTCTCTAATAAATGCCTGTATTATGAGTTTCAACTAGGTTTTTAACACTGGCCCTTTATTAGACTTCTTTCTTTACCCTTGTGGTTTTTGGGTAGGGTTTGTTTTCCCTCCCTGTGCCTTACAGAACAGGAGGAAAAAGGAGGGTGGGGGGGGGGGGGGGGGCACCAGGACTGCTCCAGCTGGTTAAAAATCCTTCTTAATTTGCAGGACAGACGTGACCTTCAGTGGCACAACACAAAACGTTTACCCGCAGCCAGGGCTATTTTTGGGCAGGAACGCACAGGAACGGAGTTCCGGCTGGCTCCCGAGTGAGTTGGCCACGCCTAGCAGGAACTGGTTAGAATGGTAGGCGACACCCAAGCCAATCATTAGGATTGGGTGCATTAGGGGTGTGTGGCCTAACATGCAAAGGAGTTCCTGCTAAAAAAAAGGCCCTGGGTTTTGACAACAAACAAGGTAAACAGAATAAGAAGGGAAAGGTGGGTGTGGCTGGATGACCACACTTTTGGTAACATGGGGGTGCGGCCTAATATGCTAATGAGTGGTGTTGTCAGGGGTATGGCCTAATATGCTTATGAGTTCCGGCTGTTGGGTGTGGCCTATTATGCTAATGAGTTCCTGCTGGCCTTTTTCTACAAAAAGAGCCCTGCCCGCAGCTTCTCCAACTCACAGTATTGATCAGACCTCCTTAGGGCTACATCACTGATTAAGCCCGCTCGAGAACAGTGGCACGATGAGAAAAACGTCACGCGTTTCCAGCGCGTCTCACCTTTCCTGCCACATGACATGGGGGAGGGGGGGGGAAGGCAGGTCTCTAATGTGCTAGTAAACTACAGGTGAGCATGGGATTCCGAGCCTCTCTTTCGGAAACAAGCTCTACAAAAACACAGTTTCCTTTCTGGTGCTGCCATCTAGTGGCAGACCACAGATATCACTTGAGACATGAGCTGTGCCTAGCTTATTAAGGAAATCAGGTTCCATTTTTCAGCCGTATAACTGAGGAAGAATGCTTTGAAACGTCTGGCATACCTAGGAAGGATGTTTTCAGATGCAGAAATTTCTTTGTGCTATGGGACATCCTCCGCCTTGTTTGTGGACTTTGAGGTCTTTTGGACACTATGATACTGAAACGATACAGAGGAGACCCTTGCTGGATTTTTCTACTTGAATTGTTATTTATTTATTTATTCAAGTATTTCTACCCCGCCCTACCCCGCGAACGCCCTACCCTTCTCTTGTTAAATGCTTTGTACTGCAACTTGTTTTTGAACTGTGACCACCAATTCTACTTTATTAATTGCTTGACTGTAGTAATGAAGAAGAAGAGAAGAGATTGGATTTATACCCCCGCCCTTCAGTACCCAAGGGAATCTCAGAGCGGCTGACAAACTCCTTCCCCTCCCAACAACAGACACCTGTGAGGTAGGTGGGGCTGAGAGAACCCTTTCGAGAACTGCTCTTTATATTTATACCCTGCCCTTCACTACCTGAAGGAGTCTCAGAGTGATTTACAATCTCCTTTCCCTTCCCCTCTTCCCCACAACAGACACCCTCTGCATTAGGTTGGTGGGGCTGAGAGAGCTCTGAGAGAACTGCCTTTGAGAGAACAGCTCTGAAAGAACTTGTGATTGACCCAAGGTCACACCAGCGGCTGCATGTGGAGGAGTGGGGAATCAACCCCGGTTCTCCCAGATTAGAGTCCGCGCACTTAAACCACTACACCAAATTGAAGAAGAAGAGATTGGATTTATACCCCATGGCCCTTCACTACCTGATGGAGTCTCAGAGTGGCTTACAATCTCCTTTCCCTTCCCCTCCCCACAACAGACACCCTGCGAGGTAGGTGGGGCTGAGAGAGCTCTGACCGAGAACTGCTCTTGAGAGAACAGTTCTGATGTGACTGACCCAAGGTCACGCCAGCGGCTGCACGTGGAGGAGTGGGAAACCAAACCCGGTTCTCTCTCCCAGATCAGAGTCTGCGCATTTAACCACTACACCATACTACACCACCCACCGACACCTTTCTTGGAACCTGCCAGGTGTTCTTAGAATTGGGGATTGGTAGGGCCCCTGCCCAGCAGTGTTCCCGACTGGCCCCTGGAGATCTGATGGGCTGTGCAGATTTTTTTTTAAGTTGCTGCTGCAGCAGCAGCCGCCACAACATTACAAGGATGACTCAAGGTAAGCCGTGTATTTGCAAGAAAATATTCTAAACAGTATGTCCATTTTAAAAGGCATTTTGTTAAGCAGAGCGGCCTGGAATGCTGAAGAGTAACCGTTAAGAGTTACGCATGCATTCATTCCCTGACATTTTGGGATTGGCTCCACCTCCCACACCAGCCATTTTGTGGCTGGCCCCGCCTCCTACAGCAAACCCGGTTCTCTCTCCCAGATCAGAGTCTGCGCATTTAACCACTATGAATGAATGAATTTTATTGTTACGGCGCTTAGCCAGCAATCATTTAACCACTACACCAAACTACACCACCCACCGACACCTTTCTTGGAACCTGCCAGGTGTTCTTAGAATTGGGGATTGGTAGGGCCCCTGCCCAGCAGTGTTCCCGACTGGCCCCTGGAGATCTGATGGGCTGTGCAGATTTTTTTTTAAGTTGCTGCTGCAGCAGCAGCTGCCGCAACATCACAAGGATGACTCAAGGTAAGCCATGTATTTGCAAGAAAATATTCTAAACAGTTATGTCCATTTTAAAAGGCATTTTGTTAAGCAGAGTGGCCTGGAATGCTGAAGAGTAACCGTTAAGAGTCACGCATGCATTCACTCCCTGACATTTTGGGATTGGCTCCACCTCCTGCACCAGCCATTTTGTGGCTGGCCCCGCCTCCTACAGCAGCCATTTTGTGGTTGCGATCACCACCCTGTGCCAGAATTCCAAAGGAGCCCACGGGCTCAAAAAGGTCGGGGACCCCGAGTTAACTGCACCAAGTCTTCACACTATCACTGGTCAAGGAAGAGCCAGGTGATTGGCCGTGTTGGTCTGAAGTAGTGGAACAAAGTTCGAGTCCAGCGGCACCCTGAAGACCAACGAAGTTTTATTCTGGGTATAAGCTTTTGTGTGCATGCACACTTCTTCAAAACTTTGTTGGTCTCTGTAATGATTCCATGTTTTGGTGTGTGTGTGTGTCTTTAAATGTTGAGTTTGACTGCAGTAATGTAAGGAGAGCAATAGGGGGAGATGAGTGTGCTGTGATTGGCTGATGAGTGAGTGTGAGAGATGTTTTATGACAGAGTTCTGTGTGTGAAATTTAAAGAGACAGCATGGTCTGTGCGGCTATGGAATTTTGCTTCTGTTCTGTGTGAATAAGTACATTTTGGGATTGGCTCCCCCCCCCACCCCAGCCATTTTGTGGCTGGCCCCGCCTCCTACAGCAGCCATTTTGTGGTTGCGGCCACCACCCTGTGCCAGAATTCCAAAGGAGCCCACGGGCTCAAAAAGGTCGGGGACCCCGAGTTAACTGCACCAAGTCTTCACACTATCACTGGTCAAGGAAGAGCCAGGTGATTGGCCGTGTTGGTCTGAAGTAGTGGAACAAAGTTCGAGTCCAGCGGCACCCTGAAGACCAACGAAGTTTTATTCTGGGTATAAGCTTTTGTGTGCATGCACACTTCTTCAAAACTTTGTTGGTCTCTGTAATGATTCCATGTTTTGGTGTGTGTGTGTGTCTTTAAATGTTGAGTTTGACTGCAGTAATGTAAGGAGAGCAATAGGGGGAGATGAGTGTGCTGTGATTGGCTGATGAGTGAGTGTGAGAGATGTTTTATGACAGAGTTTGTTATATTTACAAGTTCCTTTTTTTCCAGTAATTATTCAAATAATTTTTTCAGTAATTATTCAAATTAACCAAAAACCTAATTTGTTCTTTATGAAATAAATCCCAGAAATCAGTACAGTACATCCTCAGGGCCACATAATCCTCTGGAGTGCCCAAACCCTGGGTCATACTACCAAAAGAGAGAGATCTGGAATTTTTAACTCCTGGTGGCAGCAGAAAACTACCAAGTTTATATACACAGAGAGTGTTTAAAGGTAAAACCGTTTCCCCTATAAGCAAGGACGTCACAGTCTCACCCAGAATTATGCCCAGAATTAAACTTTGTTGGTCTTAAAGGTGCCACTGGACTCAAACTTTGTTCTGCTGGTCAAGGAAGTTCCTCACCCACACCCGAGGAACACACTCCCTCTGTCGTTTCCCCTCCCCCAGCCCTCAGTGCATCACCTGCTTATACCTAAGAAGCGAGTGCGAAACTCTGGAGCTAGCACTTTTCGCAGGTGGAGGGCCTTCGCCTGCTGCAGCACACACAGTGACCACACCAGGTCCACCAGCAGGTACGGGTCCAAGGAGTCCAGGTGGTCCTCCAGACGCTCGTGGATCTGAGGAACGGAACAACACAACTATTACATACGGATGACAACAGTGACTGCTGTTTCCCTGGGCGAGGGCGGTCAAGTCACTCTGGTGCTCAGGAGCACGAGGTTCAGCACAGCCACAGCACCTCCCCCCACCCCGTGCAGGATGAAGCGGGGGATTACCGTGCCAAAGAAGGCCTCGGCACAGCTGGGCTGGAAGTTCAGGCGAGCGAACGCAAGGACCACGTTGCTAAGAGAGGCGGGGCTGAATTTGTTGCCGTTGTCCACTGTGTACTGCGGAGAAAGGAAGAGGATCGTAGAATCACAGAATCAGAGGTCAGCTGAGAAATATCTTCATTTCTATCTTCGCAGCGTTGATTTTCCCTCCATAGCAATTCAGAAAGCAAACAAATGGGCTGTAAGCAGTGTTCCCCCTAAGCTGAGTTAGTGCGAGCTAGCTCACGGTTTTTTAGCCTCCAGCTCGCACATTTTTGTCTCGGCTCAGGAAGGATGGGGCTCCAGAGCAAACTAATGTATGCAGTCGCCTAATCGCTTGCTCACAACTTTGATGCCAGTAGCTCACAAAGTAGAATTTTTGCTCACAAGATTGCACAGCTTAGAGGGAACACTGGTCTCAGGCAAAGGTCCTTCACGTCACCTCAAACCTGGCCCTTTTTAACGAGAGACGTCAGGGATTGAACCTGGGATCTTCTGCACGCCGAGCAGGTGCTCTACCACAGAGCCACGACTCTCCTGTCTGTTGGTCGCTTGGCTCCGGGGTGCTTCTGCCTGTCTGCAGCAAAACTATCCCCAGAGCCCACAAAGAGGTCCGAGGCCCATGAGCTACAGAGATTTACTGTGGCAACTGTTTGGACCAATCCTCACCACGGAAAAGGTGAGCAATGAATTTGACACAGTTGCAGAATAAACTTTAATGCCAGTAGCTCACAAAGTACAATTCTTGCTCACGAGACTCCACAGCTTAGCAGGAGCACTGGTTGCAGGGATCGTATCCCTTCTTTAGGGTGTTACTGGACTTGAATCTCCCTGTTAGAGTCGTGCATGTCTTAACTCCTGGATGCTTTGTGCTTGGCTCTGCCGCCGGTGGGCAGGCATTTTCTGCCTGCGCTAACCACCCTGTCTGAAGGTGCCCTGAAGGCAGTTGGGGACCCCTTCGTCACAGACTCTTGACCACGGGTGTCGAACTCATTTGTTATGAGGGCCGGATGTGACATAAATGAGACCTTGCTGGACCGGGCCACATGTGTTGTAAAATGTAACGCCAGGTAGCAGAGATATAAACTTTATAAAGGACACAAACAGAAGAAGCAGAAGAAGAAGAAGAGATTGGATTTATATCCCGCCCTTCACTACCCAAAGGTGTCTCAGAGCGGCTTACAAACTCCTTTCCCTTCCCCTCCCCACAACAGACACCCTGTGAGGGAGGTGGGGCTGAGAGAGCTCTGAGAGAAGCAGCTCTTTTTCAAGGACAGCTCTTATCAGAACTACGGCTTGCCCAAGGTCATCCAGCCAGGTGCAAGTGGAGGAGTGGGGGAATCAAACCTGGCTCTCCCAGATTCGAGTCCGCGCACTTAACTACTACACCAAACTGGCTCTCACAAAGGGTTTTTTTAAAAAAAACTCAAAATAAAAACATGCTCAAAACATTAGCACTCCCTGCAATATTTCATTTATTTAACAGTGTCTGATAACTGACGGCTCTTGCTCTGAATGATTACATCAAAATGTCTGTGCTGTTGCAATCCTGAGTATGCTGTTCAGGTGTGTATCTGTAAGCTGCAGACCCACGATGACGCGGCAGCAGAACTGGAAGAAGAAGCAGAAGACAGCCAGTTCCACTGTGGGCCTGACAGAAGCCCTCTGGGGGCCTCATCTGGCCCCCGGGCTGCTTCTCTGACACTCCTGCTTTTGACCACCAGCCCCCTTTTCAGGGAGCTTTTAGCAGGATGCGCTGTTCTTCAAAAGAACACAGCAACCTTTCGTCTCAGACAGAGCCATTAGAAGCAAAGAGGAGGCTGAAGCATTTCCACGCTAAAAAATGGTATAGAAGCCAATGTATTTAACAGACTTGGGAGAGAGACATCTCTGCCCGGTTAGCTCAAGCGCCGCACTGCAATGCTGAAGTAAGTAGTGAACTCTGACAAAGTTTAAGCCACTGACTGTTTCTGGCTGAAGTTGGCAGCAGCCTTAATGGCTCGGGCGTTCCAGGCTCAGCCCAGCGACCGTAGCTTGTAGCAATTTGAGGCTGATTACGAGAAACGGATTCTTTAAAACAGCAAGCTGCTTCAAGCCTCAGACTCGAGAAACAATTCCCCGCTCCTCCACTCGCTGCTGCTGGATGACCTTGGGCAAGCCATAGTTCTCTCAAGGGCAGTTTCTGTCAGAGCTCTCTCAGCCCCGCCTACCTCACAGGGTGTCTGATGTGGGGAGGGAAGGAGATTGTCAGCTGGGTGAAGGGCAGGGTATAAATCCAATCTCCTCCTCCTCCTCCTCCTACAAAAAAAGCGACACGTGAGGTGCCTCCAGCAGGGAAGTGACCCAGTGGGGCAGATCATCCAACCATCCTCTAAGCAGCCTTGTTCCAACTTCAGTGGCTCTGTGGACCTCCTTAGAGTGGAAGAAGCACACACCCTAGAGCCAAAACTAAAAAGCACCAAGAATGGAGAAACGACGACTGAGGGGTGACATGATTGAGGTTTATAAGATTATGCGTGGGATAGAGCAGGCCGAGAAAGAGGTACTTTTCTCCCTTTCTCACAATACAAGAACTCATGGGCACTCCATGAAATTGCTGAGTGGTCGGGTTAGACTGGATAAAAGGAAGTCCTTCTTCACCCAAAGAGTGATTAACACTTGGAATTCACTGCCACAGGAAGTGGTGGCGGCTACAAGCATGGAC